AAAGGAAACCAAGGCCTTTCTGTGCTCCGCGGGGGAGCTTGGAGGCTGGTGGGGAGAGCCCTGCGACCCAGCCCCGGCTGTGCGTGCAAGGCTCTTGGCTCGGTGGCAGCCCCAGGCAGGCTCAGTGCATCCCCAGGGCTTGATCGTGGGCCTGGGGCCACGGAGGTGCTGCAAGGCCGCTCCGGAGCTTGCTGATCCCTTGCTGCAGAGGCAGAGGGCAGGCAGGGAGGTTCTGCCCGGTGAAGGCCATCAGCTTCGTCCTCTGGGGCCAGGCACCTGGGAATCCATCCCCGGCCACAGAGCTGTCCCTACGATGCAGGGCTGGGACCCTGCACCCAGGATGGGTCCGGGGAACCTGAGCTGGCAGGGAGTTGCCTCAGCTCCGGGCTGCTTTGCCCCGGCCCCGTAACCTTGTAAAATATGAGTTGTGACAGTGGGAGCATGCCCCCTTCGGCTGCACACTCTGCCTTTGCCCAAGGAGAGAGCGCGTCGGTGCCCAGAGAAAGCTGGCTCTTCCCCCAAGCCCAGGCACATCTCCCAGCCCGGCAGCGCTCCTGCCCCTTGGCCCTGCTCGGGGGACCCTCAGGGCAGCATCGTCCCCTCGCAGGGCGACTGCGAACCCACAGCCTGGGGGGCTGCAGCGGGGTCAGCCAGGCTGAGCCCCACAGCCTGCTCTCCCCTTGCCAGTGGCTGCTTTTGGCGAGGGGGGGACCGGCAGTCCCCAGCCCCAACCCTGCCTGCGCACAGCCCCGGGGGCAGCCGGGCGAGACCCCGCTGGTGCAGCCGCGGCCCTCGCATGCACTTGGTGTGGCGTGTTGATAAGCGGCGTTTTAACTTGGCCAGAAATGGGAATTACCATTTGCTGTGAAGTCTCGGGTTTCCCCTCCCTTTCGGCGGTGAGCAGCGCATCCCCCCGCGCGCGGTCCCCAGCAGGAGCTCCGCACGGAGCGTTGTCGCTCCGAGCCAGTGTTTTTCACCTTTGCAGTGTGCTACCACAGTTAATCAGCAGTCTCAGCAGCTTCTGAAATCCAAGCCACTGTCATCTCCTTCCACAGCGCTGGGCACTCACCATGTGTGCTTTGGAAACCCAGGCTCCTGTAGGCATCTGCTTTCGTTTAGCTCTGCTAATGATCTTGCTTTTCTCTAGCACCTTCTATCCAAGTGCAATCCCCG